TATCTATCTATCTATCTATCTATCTATCTATCTATCTATCTATCTATCTATCTATCTATCTATCTCTGTCTTGGGTTTGTTTGTTTGACGTCACCCTCCTAGCTATAAAATCAAAGGGAAAAACCTGCTGAAATCTTCGATTAACATGGGATCTAGAAAAATACGTGGAATTTTTGTTTGGAGATATGATTGACCTACAAGATTTAAAAAAAAAAAAGATTTTAAAAAATAGAGAAACGTGGTGTGATTTATTTCAGCAGTCATGATGCAGCTAATTTATTCAAGTTCTGGAATTTGGGCTGTTCTTGTGTGTAATTTTAGAACAGTGGGATGGTTGAATATATTCTCTTCCATGTAGATGGAAGTACAGTTTGGTTTTAACACCAAATAGATTTTGTGTGTTAGAGGTTGCTAGGAAAAAAAACTGCATAATTATAATCAGGCCTTATGTGGCAGTGGCTTTGGAAGAGAAATTTACAGGGGAAAATAATTAAGCTTACTGCAATATATCCTGAGCTGTCTAGAGAAGGCAGGTAGTAAGCCTCCATAGAAAGATATTCATGTACTTAGTGAGGGAGACCGTTTGATTTGGTTTCGGTCCTTTATATAGACGAATCCAGTTATTTCCATATCCTATGCCAAAAACCCCTAGTTTTAGTGCAATCAGACAGACTATACTTTATAGATAGTTTCAAAACACAGCATTTTTATTTTCACCTCCAGGTTTGTAAAGGTCTACTTAAAACTAAAAATACAACAGATATTTACTTATACATTTATCTATATCTAGGTCTGTCTGTCTGTTTGTATCTGTCTGTCTATCTATCCAACTATTCATCTATCTATCATCTCTCAAATTTATTGGCCATCCATCCTACCACAAGGTAACTCTGGACGGCTTACAGCATTAAACATTTCAACATTTCTTGAAAACGGAAGTCATGTATGGACATCTGGCTCCCGTTTTGTTTAGAATTTTGACAATGAAGTTGTCAAAGGTAAGCTAGGTGGTGCAACAACTACCTTTTTATTACCCCAGTATCGTGTGGAGTATATTGTTACTTATCCGTAACAACAGGTTGAATCATGTCCTAAAATCTTCTAAAGGAGGGGTGGCCAGCCTTGACAACTTTAAGACCTATGGACTTCAACTTCCAGAATTCCCTAGAATTCTGGGAGTTAAAAGTCCACAGGTCTTAAAGTTGCCAAAATTGGAAACGCCTATTCTAAAGGAGGGACACTATTATGGAAATGGACACGGTGGTTTGGCAGCGCAGAAATTTTTCGACAGACTCGTGAGTTCAGTCCATTGATCAAGCACCGGGGATAACACCCTTTTTGTCAGAGCGTGTGCAGTGTGGCTGCTATTGTGAGACAACCCAGGAGCAAAAAAACAGCACAAACAGAGGCTTTGTCTTTTAACAGAGGCTATTATATACATACATATACGTGGTAGGCAAATACCTGGCAATCAATCAATCTTCTTTACTTTGCACGAAGAACCACAATGGAGACAGAACACATGGAGAGAAAAGAGGTACTTACATCCTCAGTCTTAAGCGGCAATAACCATGCTGATTCATCCTCATTGCATCAGCCTTACAACAGCTGGTGAGCTATTAAATCTCAGTACCTTGACACTTTTGATCCTAAGTGATCGTTCCCATAATAGGCTGGTCCTGCAGACAAGATTCCCTCCCCACCAAAATGTTGAGAAGAAAGATACTGGGTACCATCCATTCAGTGGAAAAGCAGGATCAATGATCAGGTTCGGGTCTCTTCTAAAACTTGGATAGGACCCTCAAATCTTAAATGAAGTTATAGCTCAGTTTTAGCTGGCTCCTTTTATCGATCTACAGGTAGTCCCTGACTTACAACCATGTATATAATGTCAATTCAGTTACAACGGCACTGAAAAAAGTGACCTATGACCAGGTTTTACTCTTACGACTGTTGCAGAATCAAATGATTAAAATTTGTGTGCAACCGGCACACATTTACAAGGGTTGCAGCATCCTGAGGTCCTGGGACTGTGATTTGCAAATTTCATAAGGAGCATCTGGGCGTTTGCAAAGTCAATGGGGAAAGCCAGTTTCTTTTAATGACTGCATGATTCACTTAACGTCACTGATTCTCTTAACAACCATGGCAGAAAGGTCATAAAATGGGGTACAACAACCGTCTTGCTTAGCAGCAGGAATTTGATCGTGATCATAAGTTGAGGACCACCTGCATTGTATTGAATAGGTTTTTATGCTTTTAACTGTACCCAGTTGCACTGAGATGCCTAAGTCTGATAAAGTAAAATAAATAAATTTGATCAACAAACAATATTCTATCATTTCCCCTTGTGGCTGTTGCCTATTTACAGCTCCCAGCCTTCCAGGTTTTGGAGAAAAATCAATAGGCAGTTTTAACTATGCTCGCAGGAAATGAGGTGAGAACGAAAGCTTCAGTGAGAATTCCCTTCCTTTGGAATGCTCTCCTGTTGGAATTAAAACTCACTTAGTGTCTTCTCTGTCCTGTTTTTAAATATCAGCACCATTTCCCGCACCCCTGTTTTCAATATGCTTGCAGTTAGCAACCGGTACTCTCCCAAACTGGTAGCTGGCCTTCAGGTTTTTTTAAGTAGGAAGAAAAAAAATGGAGATTCAATTGAACTAGAAATGCTGCAAAGGGAATGTGTTGGTGTGTGTGTGTGTGTGTGTGTAAAACTTGTATTCTGGAGAGTTCAGAGCTTTGGAAGGTAAAGCCTTAGCAGCTTTATTTATATATATATATATATATATATTTTAAGCCAGGCATCTAGTTAGCTAATACATTACACCAATCAAGGAAAGTTATCTTAAGCCACAATTAATCTGCTCCCTGGCATATGTTGATAGGGAAGCATCATGCTGTTTCTTAATTAAAGGCAAACGGATTAAAAATGATTAATAAGGGTATTAAATATTCGTCTAAACTAAAGCTTTGGGAATCTTGGGCAAATCCTTGCTTTGCACAGGCCTACAAAGTGGCCGACATTTACAGCTCTGGCTGGGAGATAGGATAGCCAGCTGCTTCATTGAACTTTTATAAAACACCTCGATTTACGTGGAAGGAAGATGTTCCTGCTGTGCCCCAATAGACAGTCATCGAAACGTTAAAAAAACTTGTGGACCGTTTGGCAGATTTTTTTATATAAGTGTATATATATATATATATATATATATCATTAGCTTTGACTGCTGTGCATTCATAAAGGCATCATCTCTATTACTTCACGTTGCTAAATTTTATAAGAAAATAACTGGCAGGGCAAGGGTGTCTGTTCATTCAAACCAATTCCTTCCCTTTTAGGGGTACCTTTTAATTCTTTTCTAGAAAGAAACTCAATATTGGAATCTGGAAAGCGATGGAAATTAAAATCCAAGTCCCACCACCTTTTAAACTTTATGTTTTACCATATTGATGGCATTTTATTTTTTTAAAAGCGTTAAGGCGCTGCTTGTATCCTTGGGACCAAGAATGCTGTAGATTCCCCCAAAATATAACACTGTGAGAAATGGTGTATCCTGTCAATTAATATTCAACTATCCCATAATTATTTCTATTATATTATGAGAATATTTATTTCTATCCCATATTTATTTCTATTATATTATTAGAATATTTATTTCTATCCCGTATTTATTTATATTATTAGAATAGAATATTCTATTAATTCTGTTAAAGAATATTCTATTCTGTATTATAAAATACTAAAATATTTCTATTTTAATCTCTCCAAACTATCACATTTTTGTAGTACAAGAATTTCTGTAAAGGTCATCAGTAAACCATTAGCTCATTAAGTAACCAAATATATAGTTAACATAAAATACTGTATAATCTATACTGGTATTGTCTTTCATATATTTAACAGAATAATAGAGTTGGAAGGGGTTTTGGAGGTCTTCTAGTCCAACCCGCTGCTTAGGCATGAAACCCTATACCATTTGGACAAATGGTTATCCAATCTCTCCTTAAAAACTCCCAGTGTTGGAGCATTCACAACTTGTTCCACTGATTATTTGTTCTAACGGTCAGGAAATTTCTCTTCAGTACAACAGTTCATTTAGTGACTGTTTGAAGTTACAACCATACTGAAAAAAGCGACTCGGTGAGGACCATTCTTCACACTTACAACCGTTGCAGCCACCCCATGGTCACGTGATCAAAATTCAGGCCCTTGGCACAACCGACTCATGACGGTTGCCGTGTCCCGGGTGTCAGGGCTCTAACAAATCCACCTCCATTCAAATCATAAGTCTCTGGCCGCATCTCTCAGAGTAAAAAAATGGATTTATTAGGAGTGACCATGTCGGTGTTATTTGGGTGCAGCTGACACTAGGACACATCATTCATTTCCCCCTTGACCCTGGTCTTCCCCCGACCCCCTGGATGTATATTCTCCAATGGGACACATCCATAGCCAAGAGTCATCCATCATGCTCTCCAGTAGTAATCTTGCGTGCCAACAGCTTTGGCTACCTAGCAATTAACTGAAGTATTTTAGGAATGCACTACTTTCCCCCCTCCCTTTCTGCTGGCCACTAAAAAGACCAAAGAATTTTTTTTAGTTGACACCGGTGTCACATGACCTCCTTTTGAGTCCTTCAGATCAGCAAAATCAATGAGGAAGCCAGATTCACTTAACAATCATTTTAATAACTTACCAACCATCCAGTTGTTAAGCCACAACTATTAACAAAACTCAATGTAAACCATTCTAAACTTGGCTGTAAAAAAATATGATTTTTGTAATAGAATTGTCGAAGTCTGGAATGCTCTACCCGATTCAGTTGTCTCAGCTACAATTTTTCACAGTTTTAGTCACAAGTCGACTTCTGTGGACCTCGCTTCATATTTAAGAGCTCTGTGCATAAGAGCACTAACGTGCCTGTCGTCCCTGTCATTTTGTTTTTATATTATTTCTGTTTTCAGTTTTTGTTCGACACATTATAAATTAAAAAACAAACCTGCAGTGATTCACTTAACAAAAGGTGGCAAGAAAGATCGTAAAATGGGGGCAAAATTCACTTAACAACAGTCTTACTTGGCAACAGGAATTCTGGGCACAAAATCGTAGGATTGTTGGTCTTAGGATTACCTGTATTAGGTATGTTCACCGCATTGAGTTGCTTGCAAAAAATAATAAAGGCAAGCCATAAGAGTCACCTCGTGGTGAGGTTGGCAGCAAACAAATTCAATAAATGAATTTTTTTTTTAAAAAATAGCAATAGCACTTTAGAATTTCCCACTTCATTGTTCTTTTACAGCCCTCTCTAAGCAGTTTGACAGAGCCAGCATACGGCCCCCAACAATCTGGGTCCTCATTTTACCGACCTCGGAAGGGATGGAAGGCCGAGTCAACCTGCAGCCGGTTGTGGGGCTCAAACAAAATAAGAATTAATTGCTATCGTGTGAATGTTGAATTCTGCCTTCTTTTTAAAAACTAAATTCAAATGTGGGAATCCAGCTAAAGTCAACTTATCCCGGCCTTATAAATATATCTGTGTTCCTAGAGGACCCTCCGCTGCTGCTGAGGCTCAAGTCACTTTATTTCCACCTTATCCGATGCTTTTGCCGGGGCCAGATTTTGTGTTGTGTGCGGCTGCCGCAGAATCACCAGGCCGAAGGGTCAGTCTTAAAGAGCCGGCAGATGTTTCCAGCTGGGGAAAAGCCGCACTCTTCCTTCATGGGAGGCTATTAAATCATGATGGGAAATTCATTGTCATTCTGACTTGGACTTCATTAGCAATATAACAGAGAAGGATAGTGCGCCTTTAAATGATGAGCTTTGGTGTTTAATTATCCAAATAAAATGACATAAATATGAATGAGCGCTAATGGTGGTATTTGGGTTTTTTTTACTCTCCCCTGGAAACCATTAACGATTCTTAAATGATTTGTAAAGAAAATGAAAGGCGAAGAGAAGCAGTGAGATGGCTATTAGGGTTCAAACACACTCCTGAATTATTACATAGTCAACTACCTGGCAAATACAGAGAAGTAAATGATCTTGATCTTGCTACCTTCGGATGTATATTTTTTTTCCCTCCTTCTAAATTTACTGCTAGAGTCATTTCACCCCCACGGCACGCGGCATTTTGATCTTCTCTTCTGATGTTCATTCATTCAGGAATGGGGATTTGGGGGTAATGTGTGCTGGACTGGGTACATGTAAGAAAGACAGAAGATTTCGGTTCTGCAGAAATGGCTAAGGTTGTTTTTGCTGCCGTTACAGCAAATTGTCCACGAGGACTAGCAACACACATGCTGAAAGCAGGGTCAGCCCCCCCACCCGCTTTTAAAGGAGCCTTTAAAACAAGCCTTGGGTTAGAATGGGTGGTGGATCCCTTGTGGGATATTGTTGTTGTATCGTGGATTTTTTTTACCCAGATTCTTTTGGTATTTTTTGTGTTTCTATTGTGCTTTCTAAGTCACTCAGAATCATAACAGATTGGGACAGACTCTAAATCAGACAAATAAATACGCCTGCAATTGGAAGCTACAACATTAGATGCTTTTAACAATATGATTAAAGCCAGCTACCGTTCAGCTTTCCTGTTGATGCATAAATCATTCCTAGAAATTGGTATGAACAAAATTGAAGACTTCTATTGGGGATTTCTATCTTTTCTTCCTCTTTCTCCTTCTCCTTTACTTTTCTCCTCCACCATCACTTCCTCTTCTTCCTCCTCCATTCACTGTTCTTCCACCCTCCAAAGCTGTTGTACCTCTAGTTTAATAGAGGCAGGTACAAATAACAGTGTAGCTTCAACACACAAGTCAAACAACGTTTGAATAGCGTGAGCTAGTTTGCCTCCCCTTGGACTGGAACAGAGAATCAGAAGACCTAAGTCATTGTCCCTCAGCCTTGGCAACTTTAAGTTGTGTGGACTTTAACTCCCAGCATGCCGGCTGGGGAATTCTGGGAGTCGAAGTCCCCACAACTGAAAGTTGCCAAGGTTGAGAAAGACTGGCCTCAGTGGTGGACCAAGCAAGGAAGGTTATCTAGTAGAGCAATGTAGCTTTGACAAACTCAGCTGAAGATTTTCTAGTGTTGGAACGGAGTCTTGTTGAAGATATAAGAGGTGACTCTTTATGAAGTTCAGCTTTTCTCACAAGTTCTCCAGACTCTATCCAGACCTCTTTGGGAGTTGAGGTTGAATTCTTTGTAAGGACGTTGAGTTTTCTGCTCCCTAATTATGACCATTCTCTAAGTCATGCTTTCCTTAAGCTAGTCAACAACTCTACTTGTGTTGCGGCCCGCTAGCGACCAGCGGAGCTGGCAGCAGATTCAGACAGTGTGGAGGTTGGGGAGGAACATGGGCCAGTTCTGGAGTCTGGGCAAGGCTCTGAGGAGTGCTCTACATTGGAGGCAAAGATGGGGCAAGGGCTGTTTGACAGTTATCAGCTGCCTTTGGAGTCGGACATCAGTGAGGCAGAAGAACAGCTGGAGCCTGTTCCTAATGTGCACATGCACAGAGCTGCCAGGAGAAGAGAACAGTTAAGGAACAAGGGTCGACTTGGGAGTAAAGCCATATTTATTTGTTTGTTTGCTTATTTATTTATTTATTTGGAATAAAAGAGGAGTGAAAGGGGAGTGAGGTTGGCAGGAGACAATTAGTTCATTTGGGTGAAGATCCGTTCCTGCATTCTTGACAAGTTTTGTCTGCCACAGTGTGGCATCTGAAAGATATTGGTCTGGCAACTCTCCAAGCCTCTCCAAGCCTATAATTGCAAAATATCTTGAAAGACTGTCGGCCAGGACTTTGCTGGAGAGGAATTCACTGTAAACCAAATAAAAGGGGTTTTATGGGGACGTGGAGTCGGCTTTGTGCTTTTGGGGAAGCCTGGGTGAGAACAAGATGTTGTTGTTGTTCTTTTTGGCAGGCCTACTTGTGGGACAACAACAAGGACCTGGTGGAGTGGCTGGAGAAACAGCTGGCAGAGGAAGAAGGAGCCCGGTCAGTGGTTGACGAGAACATCAAATACATTTCCAGGGACTACATACTCAAACAGATACGAAGGTAAGAGGACTCTGCAACCCTCAGGGGGCCTTCCTACTCCATAAATCTGAAATGCCAGTAGTCTACAATAGTCCTCAACTTAGAACAGTTTAGTGACCGTTTGAAGTTACAATGGCACTGAAAAAAAAGTGACGAGCCGCACGCTCACCAAACGGGTTGTTCTGCCGGTAGGATCCCAGCCCTGGGTAGATTCTCTGCGGTGCAGTGATTTGCTTAACCATCATGGCAAAAAAAGGGTTAAAAAAAGCGGGGGGCGGCTGACTCACTGAACTTGCTAAGTCTTGCTTAGCAAATGGAAATTCTGGTCCCGATTGTCGTCGTAAGTCGAGGACTACCTGCACTTGGTGGTCTGACCCGAGAGCTGGGCTCCCAAACGGAGTGTCCGTCTACCCCTTCCGAGGTCCCTACCTCTCCTTTTTCTTTCTTCTAGCTTGGTGCAGGCGAACCCAGAGATAGCCATGGATTCCATCGTCCACATGACGCAGCACATATCGGCCACCCAGCGGGCCGAGATCGTGCGCATTCTCTCCACAATGGACTCGCCCGCCTCCACGTAAGGAGACGCCCGCCCAGCCTTCCATAGTGGCGGGCAAGAAAGGGCCGCTGGCCGCTCTCAACCCCCGCACAACGTGGACCTGCCAAGAAACGCTGGAAAGTGACTTTTCAATTATTTTTCGTGTTTTTAAAAAAACCAGACTTCGACGGAAGACAACGGCAGGGTGTCCTTCTAGCTGCAAAAGACTCTAGGAACGCACCCACACACACACACACACACACATGCCTAAAATAATTTATGGACGCCACGTAATCGTACCTATTTATTTAACAAGAAAGTGAAACTGGACCAATATTGTAACTAACGGTTGTCTGTACAGCACTTACCCAGATTATGAATGGTACTGTCGTGCCATGAGGTCACAGAGTTTAAAGGGTGGTTGGGTGGGGTGGGAAGGTGGGGGGAGATAAGGAGTTGATGTCCGTTGTGAGCCACTTTATGTGTTACGTAACATCCCCCTCCCCAAACTCAAGATCCCCCAGATTTCCCAACAGCTGTGGTAACGGGAGGAGGGGCAACTCCCCCTCTCCCCATTTTCCCTGGGGCCCTTCGGTTCATCAGCTGGTCCTACAGGAGGCAGGCAGTGATAGAAAAAAATCCCCCTCTTCTTGAAGCAGCCTGGGGGAGTGGTGGGGTCACCATTTCTGTGCCTAAAGGGAGACCCTCGGACTTCGTGTACCTCAGGGATCCCCAAACCTGGCAACTTTTAAGACTTGCGGACTTCAACTCGACTCCCAAGTCCATAAGTCTTAAAAAGTTGCCAGATTTGGGAGACCTCCGGTGTAACTCATCCCCCTTCATCTGGAAAGAGCGTCTCCCTCCATCATAAAGTAGAGAAAGGAGCCATTTTCCTCTCTGGAAAGCTATGCGGCAGCAATGCGTCTTCCTCTCCCTCGAGCTGGGCTCCCTCCGCCAAGCAGCCAGGTGGTGCTTAAAAGGCAGCACAGTGCTTTCTGTGGTCATAACAACCAGTCTCTTTGGGCGTTAAACAGACCTATCCAGCACCCTTCAGTTTTCCCAGGGCAGGCTGGACCAAACCCAGCCCGGAGTGCCTCTCTTACAGCAGGCATCATGCTTCTCTGTCCCATTCCTCGGTCCCACGGCACAGATTAAGCCAACAATCTTTTGGCTTGCAGACACCTTCCCTTCCCCACTCCGCCTGCTGATTCCCTCCTTGGGTTTTTGTTGCTCCAGGAAGGAAGCTTCACTTCAACCTGCCCCATTGAAATGGCCCTAATTTGGTTCTGAACGTTGGTATTGGCAGCCAATGAAAGAAATCCCTTCCTTATATAAGCAGTAGAGACTATTGCAGGGGTCCCCAAACTTGGCAACTTCAAGACTTGTGGATTTCAACTCCTAGCTGGCTGGACAATCCTAGGAGTTGAAGTCCACAAGTCTTAAAGTTGCCAAGTTTGGGGAACTCCAGCCCCGTGATGGCGAACCTGTGGCACACAGAGCCATTTGTGCGGGCGGGCGAGCCCCAGGCAAACTTACCTCATTGCACATGTGCACACCTTCCAGCTGATTTTCAGGCCTTTTTTGGCCTCCCAGACGCTCAAGGGAAACCTCTGCAGCCTTTGCAGGTGGAGAAACAGGCCTGCTTCATCACTTCCTGTCTTTCCGGAAATACCGAAAGTGACTAAACGGGCCTATTTTTCGGCCTCCAAAGGCTGCAGAGGCTTCCCTCGAGCCTCTGAGAGACCAAAAAAGGCCCCAAACATCAGCTGGGAGGCACATGCATGCGCAGTGCAGGTAAGGGGGCAGCGTGGGGGGGATCGTGCACGCATGCGCAGGAGGCTTGGGTGGGTGAATTGCTTTCTGGGTGCTGGCACACAAGCACTCAGTTTTCGGCGCAGGAGCCCAAAAAGGATAGCCACCACTTCTCTAGCCTATTGCATCCAGCACACCGACTGGGGATGCATCAGAGCATCTCTGTCCACTGCCCTCCAGCCAGGAGAGGAAGTGCTGAAAGCTGCAACTGGGGTGTGTTTTTTTTTTGGGGGGGGGGGTCAGCAAAAGAGGCTCCAGGTGGCTAAGTGGGCAGGTATGTATGTGATGCGTAGGACTGGAGGACCAGCAGCACTTTGTAAAATCTGCAGAGGTGCGATTCTGGGGTTCTGGTAGGAATTAGGGGACATGTCCCTGGCTGGGTGGAAAAAGCATCTCACCCACCAGCAAGATTTGGGATCCCGTTTTTAAAACTCGGTTGTCCCAGAAAGAAAGGAAGAGCGTTTCGCTTCTCCTTGTAGCCACACCACGCCTATAACATACAGTTGTGGGACATCACACTCATCCACCCCGAGTTCGGAATGGGACAACTCCCCGGACAATTCAACCAAGACAAAAAAATGAAATTAATTTCAACGGAACCGTTGCCAATAAAAATAAGATTAAGTCAATCCAGAAGCACCAGAGTTACATTAATTTCAGTGAAAAAAATGTGGCCCCCGTCAATAAAAGTAACTGAGTGGAACGATTAATTCAACATTGAATTGTCCCGCGGTGAGTTGGGCATGGCAAATTGGCTTCACGCAGCAAGCTGTCCTAAATGCCCTCGAGCGGTATAGCTGATTCTTACCTGTGGGACTCTTTACCTGCGGGCCCATAGCTGTGATGGGAGAGTCTAAACGCACACGCGCACACCAACTCTCAGAGCCAGCCTTAGATGCAAGTTGGGAGGGGGCAGTAATAAAACTCCCCAGACACTTTAATTTTCTTTCTAAACCAAGGACCTCGTTTTTTTTTCTTTGCTTAAAAAAAACCCCCCAGTGATTTGGAATTAATGCAGTTGGGTTTTTTCCTACATTGCAAAGCGCTAAAATCCATCCTGCTCAACATAATACAAAAAGTGCGGGGGGGGAATCTAATTTGGGATCTGGGTTGGGAGGATCCTCTTAGCACAGTATTAACCAACCAAGCTTCACTAAAAATCTTTAAGACTGAGAATCTGGTTCCCAGGTGTGTTTCTTTCTTCTTTCTTTTTTTAAAACCTGGAATGTGCCAAGTGGTGTGAAATAAAACACAGCTTCGCTGTAGTTCAGAGAGCCCAGCCTTCTCCAGCTTCCAGATGTGATAACCTCAAAGTTTCCCCAAAATTATGTCAGCCAGGAATGGGATTTGGGGGTTCTCCTAACCCCCCAGCAGCTCCACTCCTGGTTACTGGCCAGAATCTGGACATCTGGGGGGCTATAAGTGACTTGCAGCAGGCTAAAACATGGAAAGGAACCTTGATAGAAATTCTTCCGCAAAGCACATATTTTGGGCTAAAAATAACGCCGATCCACATAGATCAGACTAAACAAAAAAACGTTGCAAAAGAACAGGCTTACTTATGGGACCGTGGTGGTGGGCTTGAATCTCCACCAGACGTCCCTCCTGGGCTCAGTTCAGTGCCTTTCTTTTTCGAAACACCCCATTATTTCTTCATTAAAGAAAATAGATGTTCAGCTGAACTCCAGGATGGACTAGGTTCCAGAGAGCACATTGCATTCAAGTTGTTTCCCCACCCCCACCCCAACACCTAGAACAGCCAGGGAACCACATTTAGCCTACAATCCTGCCAAGAACTGAGTCTAGATCAGGAATCCCCAAACTTGGCAACTTTAAGACTTGTGGACTTCAACTCCCAGATTTATGGGAGTTGAAGTCCACAAGTCTTAAAGTTGTCAAGTTTGGAGACCTCTGGTCTAGATTCTGACATCCATCTTTGCATTATTATTATCTTTTGCCCTTCCTTCCCTCACGCAAAACCTACAAACTGATGTGTTGTGTTTAAAGGAGTCCTTGATTCCAACAGTTTTGTAACCCTCAGCTTAAACCTGCAAAGTGGCTGTTACTTTCGACCCCACACCGATTTCTTTTTAGAAGCTGCAAAAACAACCCCAATGAAAAGGTGGCCTTTTCAATCTTACACCTTAAATTCTAGTCCACCAAAGTTTAAAAAAAAAATCAACACATCCTCACACAGGGTTGAAGAGGGGAGGAAAAATGAGCAAAGATGCATCCTGGGTGCTTCCTGAATCTGCACAATCCCTTAAAAAATGCAGCGATCATTGTGACTTTAGCAGGAATAAATTCAGACAAACCTCTCGCTGGAAGTATTAAATTGGGTTTTGCTTTGGGAGAATTGTCATGTCTGAAGTTGTTCCACTTACCTCATTTCTCTTTTAATAAAACCAACAATCAGTTTGTGTCTGCATTCCTTGGTGTGACTTTCAGACGTAAAGGGATCTTTGGTGATGTTGAAACGTATTTTTGCTCCAGGCGACATGTTCACTTTAAGGACATTCAGCTCTGTTGCATGTTTAGGCTTCCCGTAGTGAAGTTAGCTTAGAAACATGAGTGTTGTTACTCAGGGAGCGTCAAGTAGTATCATTCTCTATGCAGATTCTCAATCATCCAGGTCATGGTTGTCCCAAAGGAGCTTTTATGGACAGGCAACCGGACTTTGTTTTTCCTTGAAGACGTTTCTCACCTCTTCAGCTTCAAGGGAACATTTTTTGAGAAAGCCCCACCCCCCCATGTAGGTTTCATTTGGTCATCAGGTAGTAGGCCAAGTCCCATAGGTTCCTCTGTCCTACTTATATACAGAGTATTGCAGCATAAATTCAAATTAAACAAAGATGGTTGAGGCTTCTTTATAACTTCTTTATAAACAAATGAAGTAAATTTTACAATACCAGTTGTAGATTTCTCCAACATGGAGCAAACTCAAACAGAAGCAGGCGTTACAAGTTCAGAGCAGAACAAGCAATTCAACTTCACAAACAGACATCAGTTTCATTTTAGTTCAGCAAGGAAGCAAGACACACAGAGGAGAGAAGGAGTCTCATTTTCAATAGACTCAGAGCTTAGCATAGCTGCAGAGCTTAATATAGAGCCACGCCTAGGCTACTTCTAGTTTCAGTTTCCAAACAGTCCTATTGGCTGACTTTGTTACCGTGCTCTATTCCAGTTCATGAATATACTCTGACAATATATAGGCAACCACTTTATCAGAAAGCGGATTGGTCAGCGTGGAATCCTTGGTGCTCTGATGATGTTACCTAGCTGGGTCATGAAACGTCTGCAAGAAAACCAGCAAGCTCAGAGAGCACCAAGGACCTCTCACTTCAACCCCAAGCTGCCAATATTCTATTGGTCAGTGTTCCTCACTCCCACTTAACCCTCTAAGTTGAGTTTGTTCGCACAAACCACATAGGCATCTAGCGATTCCACGGTGCATTCCCCAAACTCAGCTAAGTCGGTCTAGGTTATTTTAAAATGGAGCTAGCCAGTTTGCATTGTGTAATCTGAAAGAAAGGCTGCATGTTACTCCAGTTGGCAACTTCAAGCTTGTCTTTTTCTGGGCAGGTGAGTCTATTGACTCACCTGGGCTCCTCTCCTCCCTGAGGAATGTTTATGAGTCCTACAGGAACTCCAAGGGCATCCTTAGGAAGAGAGCAAATTCTGGAAATTGGTACTTGTCTTGCAATGAACCAACCTGGCTGGTAGCTCGCTGAAAAAGAGGGTGGGGCAGACAGCAAGTGAACATCTGCAGGTCCCCAGAGCTGTAGAGTTTCTGCATGGCTCTCCTTTAAAACAAGATACTCTGCATTTGGCTTGGTGGTTTCCATCTAGAATGCAGTGGCCTAATGAACAAACCAACATTAAAAAGAGCAGTGTGTTAATAGAATAGAATTCTTTAATGGCCAAGTGTGATTGGACACACAAGGAATTTGTCTTGGTGCAAATGCTCTCAGTGTACATAAAGGAAAAGATACATTAATCAAGAGTCAAGAATCAGCAGGTACGACACTTAATGATAGTCACAGGGTACAATAAGCAATCAAATTATACTAGGAAACAGTCCATATAAATCGTAAGGATAGAAGCAACAAAGTTATAGTCCTACAGTCACAAGTGGGATGGGATGGGTGATAAGGAGTGATGAGAAGATTAAGAGTAATAGTAGTGCAGACTTTATAAATACACTGTAGTTGGACAGTGTTGAGGGAATTGTTTTAGTTTAGCAGAGTGATGGCATTCGGGGAAAATACTGTCCTTGTGTCTTGTTGTTCTGATGATCTATAGCGTCGTTTTGAGAGAAGGAGTTGAAACAGTTTATGTCCAGGATGTGAGGGGTCTGTAAATATTTTCACAGCCCTCTTTTTGACTCATGCAGGACACAGGTCAGGTTTCAAAATAATCCCAAGAAGAAGCTAAAACCAAGAGCATTCTGAGAATGTTGCATGTCTGACATTCCGCCCCCCTGCCCCACTTGCTCTTTATTTTCCAGAGAATTTGGGAAGATTCCTTCTGAGATGCTTCCTCCAACTTCGTCCCTCCTTTGGATTCAGCTTTCTCTTCTGTCAACCTTCTTCCTGTCTCTCAAGGTGACTCCCACACCATCGGAAAACAATGCAACCACCTCTGTTGTATTTCTCCTTTTCTCCTGTCCTTCCTCCCCTGTTTGTATAGACTTCCCTTTTTCCCTTTTGCCTTTTTTCCCTCTGCCTGTCGCTGACTTAGGTCTACCCCAGCAGATAAGCTATAACTGTCCTGAGAAGTCCCATAAGGAAGAGAGAAAAAAAGAGTTGCAATCTTTAGCAGACGTTCGTTTATTCTTCACTTCCAGACTTGCTAAAAGTAAAGCCTCCATCAAGTTGAGCTCTTGCTGGTTTTAGAGACTGTGCAGTTTTCTTGGCAAGGATACAGAAGCAAAAGAAAAAGAAGAGGAGGGAAGGGGCAGAGAGAGGAGGGGAGAGGAGAAAAGAGAGGAGAAAAGGGGAGAGGAGAGGGGAAAAGAGGAAGAGGAGAGGAGAAAAGAAAAAGGAGGGGAGAAGAGAAAAAAAGGAGAGAAGAGAGGAAGAGAAGAGAAAAAGTCTAGCTTACAACATGAGGACTGGGGAACTCTGGGAGTTGAAGTCCACCCATCCTAAAGTTGCTGAGGTTAAAAAACATGGGGACAGATAAACTAATAGATTTGCCCAAGAACAGTTCAGTTCCCCTTGTTTTGCAGTTTTCCATAAATTAAGATCACTAGGGAAAGCATACGTGATGTAATTTGTATGTCTAAGTTTAGCAAAGGCTGCAGGGACAAATTAAAATTCTATTTTGTATTCCAGTTTCAGGCTCTTTGGGTTTGTAGAGCAGACGTCGGAAAATGGCCTCTATATCACCTGATGCAAGGGGGCTTCTTTTTTGAATGATCTCTACCTTATTTTTTTTTCCACTGATGCTTCAGCTCTAACAAAACCCACCTCTTCACATTCAGAGAAAGTGGGGGTCGCCAAAACAATTTCATGCATTAAAACGGTTTCACAAATGGCTGCCCGAACTCACACTGCCATTTCCCTCACCGCTACTCAACTGAATTTAATTGCAGGTACAGCTAATGGAACAGTTTTCACCCTACTAGGTAGGTTGCATAAATGAACCTGTTTACCCCAAACTGGTTCTTTTATTTTTCATTTAAAAAAAGAAAAAGAACGGGCCTAAAGGTAGCTTTACGCCAAACCCGCTAGAAATCAGCACCACGGACACCCAACTTATCGTATATGGAACTGAGATCAAACCTGGTTGATTGGTATGTCCTCGATCATTTAAAGAAAAAAAAAAACCCGAATATAACGGAAGACTCAAAGGGATGCCTCTCTTGAACCCTGGACATTCACTAGCAACCAATATTCATATGCTTAAAATACCCAGAAGGGTATCCCCGAAGTGTGACAGCTTTCAAATGCCACCAGATCAAAGTGTGATCATCTTTTTAATTTAAGCCTTTTGTTGCCTCAGTGATCTTAAGAGAGGCAGAGAGAAAGAGGGAGGAGAGAGATCAAAAAAAAAGCCGAAACAAAAACAGCTGCTTTGTAGTTGCGTTTTTCCCCCCCCCCCCCCCCCCCCCCAAAAAAAAACCCCCCCCCCCCCCCGCCCCCATTTGCTTGAGTCCCTTCTCTCAATTTAGGCCGTGAAATAGGTCAGCTCTATTACCGATCAGCCTTCCCAGAAATATTTAAAACAAATTGAATTGCACACCCAATACCCATCACAATTATGCCAGCCACAATAACTAAATTAGCAATTCAACAAAATAATTGGAAATGCGATTCTCTCTATTCCGAGGCTTCCCCGAGGGCTTTTGCCGGATCGGTTGGGGGGAAACTCCGCTTTACTAATTCAGAAGCTAATTAGAGCCACACTTGTAAATGAAGTTGTTTGTCTCAAAGTTGAAATTCAGTCCCCGCTTTTATTTATTTATTTATTTATTTGCATTTTGGGGGGGGCGGGGAGAGGGAGGGTCTTTTCTCCTTATACCCATGTTGCAAATCTAAAAACAAAACAAAACATCCCAAACCCCAACAACCTTTACAACTTGCTAAAATCATTTAAATTCTGTTGATCATCGAGGATATTAAAAGGAACATTTGTAATGAGCTATGCCTGGATTTTCCTTTCCTTTTTTTCTTTTTAAAAAGTTTAAACTTTCTGACTTTGCCTTTCAAAAGGGTAGATAATGACAAACAACATGGTTTCGGCCACAGAGAAGCTACCTCATCCCAAATCTCCAGGACCAAGAAAAGAAACAAGGGCTCTCGAGATTGTGACCATCTTTGGGCCAACATTGCTATGCCTTTGGGACCAAGTCTCAAAGTGGTTAGTTATCTTCTTCCAGGGAGAAGTGGATAGTTCCCTTATTCCATATGCCGTCCTAGGACTTGGAGGTCTTCTTCTAGTCCAGGGGTGTCCAACCTTGGCCACTTTAAGACTTGTGGACTTCAACTCCCAGAATTCC